ACTTTTTCCTTCTACCACATTGTTGCCCAACAAAATTTCAATTCATCCATACAATTGTCATGTTATTTCATTTTTTTTTAATGAATCCCATTCATAAAGCAAAATCTCTCGAACACAAAAGCCTATGATAAATAAATAAAGAATAATTAACCCATTCCATACATACATCAAATAATCCACCTGTTTTTGATGCCCAATCTACAACCATATTTGGACTCCTATAACAAAGATAGAATTTTCATTATTGTAATGATGCTCTAACTTAATAGGTCCTGAAATAATTTCAATCTCTTATTGTTCATTCACTAATTTTGTCACTTAGTATCAACAAATAAGTTTGTATCAGTCTTCATTACATGGTCGGTGCGTCCCCATCTTTTCATTTCCGGAATAGACACTCGAAACACTCGAAACTTCGACATTATGATATCATTTGTAATACCAATTGACGTAACTTTTGATAGTTGTTACAAACATTACGGTGATCCACCATGAATTAAAAAACTTAAATTGTTTTTCGCTTTCTCTAAATGTGCTAGAGTCTTGGCTATATACACTATCTCACCAATAACTATTACCTGTTTCATTCCTAACAATTGATTTTTTGAAATTGATTAATTTATTTTTTTCCAAACCAATTCTCAAAATGTGCTTGGAATAATTGATGTGAGGTCACTTAACTTTGTTTCACATCCAGTTGGCTCTTACCCAAACTAGATAGATTTCATCTTCTCTTTTCACCACACCGATTTCAAAAACGATTTCCTAATTCAAGGCTTATTGACTTTAATAAAATTACTTTGAAACACAACCCAAATTCAACTTATGACAAAAATACATGACCTTCTCATCTTAGAGTGTCTATTGTTTATTGAAGCTTGGTCTATCTTCTCGTATACTAAACATGATATCAAAAATAAGTCGAAACAATTGCTCGTCAATTACATTTGTTTTTTTCGTAGCCGCTTCCATTGCTTTCTATTAATTAACCCCGTTTTTCTTTCACAGGGAGGAATGATCCAAGCTTCGCTAGAGCTAAAGACATTGCACATTTTTCAGCTCAAATTAAGGAAGGTCAATATTATGAGCTGAAAAATTTTTATACGTACGAGAATAAAATCTACAATGCTATAGTTGATCGTGAGGCTATCATTGATCTCAAACGAGACATCCAGATTCATCATCTCCAAAGCAACAACCTTACAATACCAAGGCACATCTTTTTTCCGATCGACTTTTGCAATCTCTTAACCAAAGGTCGAGAATCCAAGACTCTCATAGGTTAGCCAATCTTCTATGCTTGCAGCCTCTTTTTTGAATAATTCCTCTCGTTCACCAACCCTTTTACAAGCAACTTTGTTAACAATTTTGTTATTTTCATAAAAGATGTTCTTGGTCGAATGAAAGCCATTCAACCTATTCGGACAATCATTGTTCGTGGATCACGTCTTGAATCAAAAAGAGATATTATCATAGAAAATATCGGGTTTTTATTCCTCTTTAACATTTTAGCTGTTTTGCACTACAACAATTTACTTTTACATTTTTACATTTATTTTTATTTATATATATAAAGGAATGAAGAGTTGCGCATAACACTATGGGGAGATATTGCAAAGCGTTTTCGCGAAGAAGATATGCATCATCTACCGCGACTCGTTATTGTCGTTTCTGTTGGTTTCGTGGTTGCCGAATTCCTAGGTAGCATTACTTCTAATAATTTAGCATCTTTGACCATCATTATATCCTACTTTCGATTTCCTGGTTTTTTTTATCATTCATCATCCGTAATATTTTTGTTAGGCAAGCCAGTTCTTAACGAAACCGTTGCATCATTGTGGTATTTCAACCCGGACATTCCGAAACACTTTCCTATAAACATTTATACGTTGCTCCACCATTTTTCCTAATTTTCCATCCCTTTGTTCAATGCTAATGTAAAATATCCTCTCGCTGTCTTTTATTGTAGGTTCGAGGGTATCCCGACGCAAATCAATCACTGCCCATGATGACCAATTTCGAAACTAGTGTTGCACAACAAAAAACGAGAAAATAGGAAAACCATTAAATAGTCGTTGTGCATGAATCCTCAAGACTTTAAGGTTAGATTTCATTTCGTTTTACCCTACAAGTCAAAGTTTAGAATGGATGATCCTATGCAGAAATCACATTACTTAACCATCTTGGTTTTTGAACTTTACTACTCATACTATGATTAAATTTTTCACTCGTTGTCATTTCATTGCCTCTTAATAATATATGCTATGAGTTCGAAACAATTCCCAATTTTAATTTATTATCGGCATCAATACATATTATCTTACTCTTTGAAGTTCTTTCCAATCTTTTCCCTATAAAAAGCAAACGTTTACATCATCCAAAACTCTAAACACCATTTAACTTCTTCAAATGAACTCGGTATGAAAATAATTTCTATTAAATTTTGTAATCACCATACATACCAAGTTCACAACTAAAATTTATCAAATTGCGCATATGATTATGTTATTAAATCATCCCTTAACAATTTACGGCGTTTACTAATCTTAATTGACTGATCTTGAATGAATGTAGTAGAACGAACCCTAAAAGAACCCATTCTCATCGTCCGAATTTATTTCTCTCCTGTTATATTATGACATCCTTTTCAAAATAATTAATCACCCTATAATTCCAACAACTTATGAAATTATTGAACGAACTTATTCATTTGTACTCTCTTTGTACCTAATCTGGATCTTTATTACGGGGCCATAGATTCACATGTCAAGCTTCCATAACGGACTTCGATCCGAATTGGGGATGGTGGTATAAAGCCCGTCCTAGCTGCGATAAACTTCGCGTGAAGATGATGGACGTTTAAAATGCCAAACACACGGCTTTATCGACAAAGCTCCCATCCCATGGTGAATTTTTAGTGCTCGTTTATCAATCATACGAGTTTTATCTATACTTCGAATACATGTTTGTTAACCATCATTCTTAGTCCCAACCACATTATTTTATTTGCCCATATATGGACATAAATTTTATCTACACTAATGCATTTTTATTTTTACTAGGTTTAAAGTTGATTGTATCGTGATCGATGGAACTAACGTTACCAACTTCATGATGATCGAAAAAAATGCGAGAAAAATTCTTTGGAGCTTCGGCATATCACTATGTCATTGAAAAGGGGTTCAATGATCCCTACAAAATCCCTCCTCCGATGGCGAGAAAAATTGATGTTGTTCAAGATTTTCCAAATCTATTTTGGCATGTTCGGATCAACAAATAATCGATGCAATTTGTTGGTAAATACTGTTTTTGATGATGACACACACTCGAAGCGAGAGGAAGTCCCGCTCTGTCAATAAGGCTAATGATCAACCCCTTTTAGTTGAATCCACGTCTATTGAATCTCCACCCACTCAATCCGCTCTCATACCATTTGATCCAAAAACTCCTGCGATCAATGAAGCCCAAAATATCATCACTTCATCCACTACATCGATTATCGATGAACCAAACCGCCAACCGACTTCGTCACAATCAGCTACGGTGTGAAGCGTAAACTCGACTATTTGTCACCCGCCCTACGACATGAAACCATAAGGTTTGCCTCTCAAAAAATTTATTCACTTTCACATTCACATTCAAAGCATTTGCTTCATGTACATTCAATTGCGTTGAAGCAATTAAAAGAATATTTTCTTCTTATTTATTCATAGATTATAACAATCCATACTAACTCAATTTCCCCAATTCGATTTTCTTTCTTATAACGACGAACCAATCGTCACTATTGATATACCTGCTTCCAAAGCATTCGTGATCATGCCAAAAGTGGAAAAACCTAGCTTCCCTCCACCAAACAAACGACCTACAAACTAAGCACACTAATGATGTGTGACAACTATCGTTGAAAAAAAAAACAAGTGAGTTATCCACACTCGATAAACCTTTCTCTTCGAAATATTGTCTTTTTTAAAAAAACTATTCTAAACTCACATGTCTTCAACACATTACGTAAATGAATCTATGGTGCTTTTGTGCTTGAGTTAAGGGAAAGCGAGACGAGGATTCCAAAATTTTATCAACTTTGTGTCTTTTGGTGAATGCGGCAAATCGGTTGGTTGTGTTATGATATATCACTTAATCATGTCATGTGGGCATTTTAAATTACGCATTTCGGCTTTTTTTGCCATACTTGAAGAACCTTTTTTGTTGGTTGCTCTTAAAAGGCAAAAAAAAACCATAACTATGGAAACTCTTCAAATGATACTCTTTTGATAGCATTGGCAATTTTAAAAAATGCTTTCCCTTCCCATTCTATCTTTGTACTCGAATCCTCTTCAACCTTGGTTAATGATTGTAGACTTTACATTTATTTGTTCGTTTTCCATTATTATTGTGTTTCCTTTTCATGCTTTCTACCTGCTGGTCTACTTTCTTCATGTAGGTTTGCTTGATAGCTAAACCAATTAACACTTACATATGACCTTATTAGTTTTTCTCTCCATCCTGTAAAATTAATGAGGTAACTAGTGCATCATATAGTAATGTAAACTGTTGGAATTTTTCCAAACATTTATTACCTAATTCTACCTCAATCTTTTATTATGTATGCATTGTTTTATGATATTACAAGCATTTTGTTTTCTTCCAATTTATTTATTCGCAAAGATAAAAATTACACATATGTAGATATAACAAATTATATAATATTCGATTTAAAATTCAACAAAACATACTTCATAATCTATATAAAACGAGTACCCGACCACAGGGAAGCGCGGGTACCCCACTAGTAAAAAACTAAAACAGCTGGGAAGTTACTGTTCACTTGAACAATAACTTGAACAGTAAACTTCCCGGCTGGGCCTATGAGGGAGACAGAAGTCTCTGTTCTGTGTAGCTATTTATTCTGAGGAGATGGTTAGGTAGATTAGATTCGGACCAGTGGTTCCAATTTAGAGAACGGAGAATGCATCACATACCGTAACATCGCTATTGCATCATCTAGCCATCCAGTCCATGCCGTCTCTCTGTCCTCCAATTGGATGCCCATAAGGCTTCAATGAATAAGATTGCTCGTGGCGAATTGCCATGACTAAGGGAGAGTTTTTTAAAATACTATTAATTTAATATATATATATATATAATAAAAAGTAATTCACTGTTCATTAGATAAAATTTTTAAATTGCTTCATTTTGATCATTAAAAATTTAAAATGAAAATTTTAATCCTCTAACTCATACATTATACATATCTTTTCTTCTTCTTCTTTTTTCTTTTGATTTTTTTTCCATCAATTTATGTTTTTTTTATTTAATTGGGTGTTAAAATTTTCAAAAATTATTTTTCAAAACTCTGAATCTATGAAGTATGATTATATATATATATAGTTTTGTTGGAAGTTAATTATATATCTCCATACTCCATACATAACACCATTAGTCTCTTGGTTTAAAAACTAATTTGTTGTCCTTCTTGCAATATCAATAGTTTTAGTTTTATTTTTTGTTTTAAGAAATAGAGAAAGAATAAAAAAAAATAAGTAAAAATATGAAAAAAGATATTTGTGAAAATAAAAAATAAATTATTCTTGGTCAACACTCGATTAAAAAATTAAAAAATTTATTTTTGAAACCAAAAAAATTAATTCATTCATTTTTAAAAATGAGATAGATCGATTTATAATTTAATTTGCAATTCAAGAATTTCTTTCATTGTAAATTAAGAAGTCAAATTTATGGGAATCAATTTTCTATTAATGTTTATTTCAATTTATTGACTTTAATATATTCCATATAATTTAGATTTTTTTTAAAAAATATTTGTTTATATTATGTATCCGCATACATAACACTAATTATTTATATTTTATTCTTGTTTATATTCTAAAATTAATATGATTTAAAATATATATATATATATATATATCATTAGTTTTGTTGTAAATTAATTATGCATTTGTACACATAACCTCGATTATTTATTATTTATTCTTTTTTATGTTCCAAAATCAATATTTTTTAAATAAAATAATTAAAATAATGTTTTGAAAGAACCTTTCAATTATTCAAATATAACTTTTTATACTAATATTATTGATTATTTTTTTAATATATATATATAAACCAAAAGATTTTGCTAAGCAAATAGATTTGATTTACATTAGTTATGAGAAATAAGATTTTTATCCGCACTATACCATACAAATCGTTAACCTTACATACATAATGATTGTCCGATCGTAGCATAACGCGGTATCCAACTCGTTATGAAATAAAACCGAGACGAGGTCGTTTTAGTAGTTTGCTTTAGACAATTAAATACAAGTTATCAACTGCTATTTTTTCTCTCCCTCACAAATTTCCCTAACAACAAATAACAGGACACCTAGAATCTATTTGGTTGTAGAAAATAATTTTTCATTTTCTATCTCTATTTTTTTTTCATTTCCAATTTTTCTTTTCTTTTTCTTTTTAGAAAATATAGATAATGTGTTAATTTGGAAATTCAAAAAATTGTCTAGCATTTTGAAAATTGAAAAACATGTCTTAACAAAAAAAAAAAAAAAAAAAAAAAATTCTAAAAAAAATTTAAGTTTGCACGTATATATGGTTATTTATTTATTAAACTTTTAATGATATTTTTTATCATAATATCACACTAATTAATTTTAATATTTTTTTCATGTTATTTGTTTCATGAATGAGCAAGTTATATTGTTCATAACATTGTAATGTTTTTAATGATCTAACAACTTAAAAAACAAATATCACATGGAAACATATAATGAAAGAGATTGGTATGAAATTTTTAAAATACTCAAAGAATAATTACCTATACTTACTCCATAAATTTATTTTAAAAGAGTAATGAGACACAAAAAAGAAAAAAACTCACATCTAAAGCCACTAAAAGTCATAAAGATATTTTTACCTAAACTCAATATTCATTTAATTATTGTTCTATTTTTTTTCTTATTTTTTTGTCTACCTCTCTTTTTTATATCCATTTCTCTCTTATGGAGTAAGTATAGCTACTCCGAGATTAAAATAATCTTTTTTTATTGGTGTGACTTATAGATCTTGGGAAAGAAGCTCTTGTATTAATAGAAACTATACATAAATAATAAACGATGTTTTTCATATCTATAAAAAAGATAGAAAAATTTTAATGGGATAAACTTAGAAAACATAAAAAATATTTTCTAAGAATAATTATAAATTGGAGAATTGAAAAAAGGTGTTTTCTAATTCTCTAAATGAAAAAAAAAATTCGTACTTGCATATGAAGTTTTATTTTTCATTTAATATAGAGATATTTTTCTAAAAAAAAACAGAATTTATTTCTATATCTTAGCACCATCCTATTTATTCTCCATTTTTCAAGCATTTCCTTTACAAATGAAACACATAGTCAACCTCTTTTTATCGAATAAATAAATAAATAAATAAAAGGGACAAGATTCCTTCTTATTAACAAAAAAGAAAAAAAACTAAAAGAATAAGGATTGTTACCGTTAGTACACTATTCATTTAGACTCAATTGGACCGTGGATGCATTATGCTTGCCATCCTTTGTCTCTAGGTCGTTCGTTCTTCTTCTTTTGTTTCTCTTCCTTTCATTTCTAGCCGATCCTTTCTCTTCTTATTTTTTCTTTTATCCTCTTTCCTTAGTTGAGGGGGCACCATTTAATGCTTCTTCTTCATGTCATTTATAGCCTATTTCTCTAATTTCTCACTCGTCATTTTTTTTATTGATCGTCCCACCCTTTCTCATTATGGGTGGCCCAATTACCTGATTCTTTTTGTTGATTTTTCCTTTGTTTCGTGTCTCGGTTCCTTTTCCTTTCTGTTTTCTTATTTCTAATTTGGTTTGTAATGGGATGGATTGCTTTGTTTTGGTATTTCCAGTCCAGTTAGAGATGGGGGTGGTTGGTTTTACTCTATCTTCACTTGCTTTTTCTTTTTCTGATTCCATTTCAATCGAATGGTTTATTCTGTTTTTTCTTTCCACTTCGACTAAAAGGGGTGATTGTTCCTTTGTGGCCCCACAAACACCGTCATTTGCATCCACTTTTGGTCAAACTCTTTTCATTTTTTGCCTCCCCTTTTAAAATCTTTGCTTAAACTTTTTTCCTCTTCATTTGTTATTGTTTCTTTCTTCACTCTTCTAACTCTCTGCTATCTTCTTCAACTTTGTTGCTTTCAGGTTTCTCCTTCTCCCTTTTTGTTCTTTCTTTTTTGGGTTTATTTTTCCCTTCTCATGTCCTTTAACTTACTTGCGTTTCATTGTCTGATTTTTGGGGATGCACATTATGTTTCTTTTGCAGTGGATTTTGGCCTTGTCAATTGTTTGCGTCTTAAAGAGGTACGTTTCTATTTCTTTCTCTTTTTTCCTTAATTTTTTGCTCCTTTTTCCATCTCTTTATGTCATGGGTGAGATGGTGTTCTGCTATTACTTTCCATTGCCCTTTTATGTTTGGGTTTCTGCCATGGGTTTCTCCTATGCCATAGGTTTGTGTTACTATGTTGCCTTCTGCTGAAATCATCTATGGAATCATCGATCTCTTCGATTGACCACATGATGAGGGTGTTACTTTCAGCAAATCATGGAACGAGCCCACCATTTTAAAGTGCTCAATAGATTCATTGCACATTGTCTTCCTTTTATAGGTACCAATCTTTCCTTATCCACCGATTGTTGCTCCTCCATTCTGTTTGTCTTCGAAAAAAGTGCATTTAGAATTTTCTTTCTTTCTCCTTTTCCCCAGCGTTTACTTTTATCGAGTGGGACTGTATTCTGTAAAAATTGGAACTTGGAGCCATTTCGTGATTTTTTGAATTAACATACTAGAATTACAGATGCTCGAGAAAAAGAAGAAAAAATACCTTCTATAATGTTAGGCAAAGCATAAATGAATTTAGTCTATTATCTTGGTTTTGGCTTAGCTTCTTTTACATTTTATTACCCGAGAAAGTGGTTTTTTTTAGCATTTTATCTATTGGGCTTGGCCAAGCTATCTCTAACCTCATCCTATCTAGTTGTCTACAAAACCATAAAACCCTATAGTTTATTTCTCTTTCATCACTAGCCAGCAGCCATCCATCTAGTAGAAAACACAAAGAAACCACACCATCATAATCACCCAACAAAGCATACTTTTTTGCTCTCTTCGTAGAGAAAGTTATGCCATTTTGTTTTGTTTGTGTTTGAGAAATATAAAGCAGTGAGTTCAATTGATATAATGACTCGGTGGTTTATTAAGTCGAATAGGACAACTCCATGTCGTGACCAGGCTTAGCCAAGCTGGGGTGGCACCTACCATTGTCATTTGATTTAGGAGGGGTAAAGGCGAAGTTGGATTCGAAGGAGGAAGAAAGAATAAGGGCTTTTCAAAGAGGTTGAGGTCGTGTTGGAGAAGATGGACAGAAGAGAGGGTGGTTATGATTTTACAAAAAGAGAGAAAGTTGAGCTTGAGCTATATAGGACCGTTTGAGATTGTGGGTCAAATTGGAGTAGCGGCTTATGAATTGGCATTGCCGCCACAATTCTCAAGCATACATTCAATGTTCATATTTCCATACTAAGGAAATACGTACCCGACCCATCTCACGTACTAGAACGACTAACAATGAAATTAAGTCTTGATTTGTCATATAAGGAATAACCAATGGTTGTAGTAGATCGTCATGTTACGAAATTATAGAATAAAGAGATTGTGTCCGTCAATGTCATTTGGAGGAACCATTTGACCAAAGTAGCCACTTGGGAGGTCGAGGAGGAAATGAAAAGGAAGTATCCTCAATTGTTTGTCTACTAAAGTTTAGGTAGATTCAAAAATTTGAGGATAAATTTTATTAAGGAGGAGAATGTAATAACCTAATTTTTTTTTTTAAAAAAGATTGGTATTAATATGAGTAGTAAGTGCTTCTATTTTTTAGATTTTCCCTTATTTTTCCTTTCCCTCTCTCATGTTTTCTCTCCCCAACACCCTCCCCAATTTCACCCTAATTCTTAAGCTAATTCATGTTAAATTGGTTTAGGGAAAACATAAATTAGTTGGCTTAAATGGATTATAGTTAGCTTGGAGCTTTGGAAGCTTAGAAAGCTAAGAAGAAATTGGGATTTGAGGAGATTAATGTAAAGGTAAGGATTTTTATCCATTGAACTTTGTATTATGATGTTTGTAAGTAGTTAAGGATGGATTAAAGATTGGTAACAGAATAGAATTAAGAGATTATTTAGAATCAATTGAGGGATTATAGAATCTAATTAGATTATCGATTGAGTCTTTCCAATTAATTTTATTTTTATTTGATAATCTTATATTTTAATTATAGAATAATCCGTTGTTGGGATTATTCTTTATTATGTGATATTGATGGATGCCCCATCATTTACGATGCTAGATTCTTTAGAGCGGACGACTCCATCACAACTTTAATTCTATTTGGTTCTTCAATTGTACTATGAGTAAATATTATATTATGTATCATGTTATAAAGTTCTTGAACTCGTCCATTCTAGTAGAACTTAGAAGGGAACATACGTTCTAAATATTTGAATTGTTTCTCATTTTAAAATGACTTGATATGAACAAAAAAGAGATTTTAATATGTGATTGCAATTAATATGTGATTTTAGATTTGAATGATTATGTTATGTTCTTATTTTGAATATATATGTATTTTATGAAAATGCATGGATTGTATTTGAAATACCGATTTAAAAATGTATAAATACATTTGGTTTTCGAAAATATTTTTGAGACCGTAAGAAACCTAGCTACCGGGGGTAGCCTTTGAGCTCAATGATAAGAGGCTCCATCTAGTAGAAAAGGTGTAGTGCTAGATCATATGTCAACCAACATGCGACAACCTAGTTATAGGAGGTATGACCTTTGAGTATTCGCACCCAATGATACGTTATTTTTTCACGAGTGTATAAAATCTATATATTTATTTTTCGTATGAGTATGATATATGTATGAACAAATGATTGATAAATTGATATGAAATGGTTATGAACCATTTGGATTTGTGATATGAAGTGTGTTTTCAATATGCATATGTTTTTTAGAATTAAGCATTGCATTTTGATATGGATTTGAGAATATCGTTCGTAGTTTATTTTTCTTCCACTCGTACATTATATAATGTCTACTTACCGAGTTGTGGTTTACTCACCCTTGTAGGATATTAAGGGATCACCTATTGTTTCCTTTTGGCAACTTTTCGTGGAGTCGGCACTTTGGTCTTGTGACTTTTTTTCATTGTAATTTCTTAGAACCTATGCATATTTTGGTTTGTTGTATATTAGATGCTTTACATTTATAGTTGTAGGTAGAGTATTAGAATTTGATTAAGAATGTTGATCTTGGATATTGAAATGAGAATAGTATGAAATTCATGAGATGTATTAATGTTAAAGAAATGTTTATTAAGTCATGATTATGTTGATATTGAATGATTATTCAAGTGATATTGAATTAAGGAATATGGTACAAGTCCGATAATGATATTTAAGGTTTTTAGATTAGTATTAAAGGCTTACTTGGATCGAGGTGGGCCTCAAGTCCTCTCGGTCCTCGTTCCAGTCATGGCCCACTCCCGGGTTAGTGACACACAAGTGGAGCAAGAACAAGAGGCATAAGAAGAGGTACAGATTGAACTATAAGTTATACATGAAGAAAATCTGAATTTTGAAATGCAAATCCAGAAAAATGCACAATCGGTAGACTTCAAAACTCCACTAACTATAAAAGAAATTAATGAAAATATTCAAGAAGCAGGCATAATTATGAATTTAAGATATAATACTATGAATATCAATACAACTTGCATTACAAATTTTGTTATTTTTGATAGAGGATCTTCAAGTAAAAGAAAAGAGGGCCAACAACGATCAAGGAAGTACATACACGGGCCATTGAAGATAGAAAGTCAATTTTCTTAAATAAGCAAACCAACCAATAGGCCATGATGATAAGACTTTGAATAAGTTCGGTAATTTTTTGGGAACATTGGCCCGAAATGGGACTCTCGCACAATTGAATCATGTTAATTGGCACAATATGCCAACTAAGGAACTATTATGGGAATATGTTTTAGTAAGTAATTCAACTTAATCTCTTTCTATTTCTCTCTTTTTACTAGCATAATTTTTTGCCTAATACATGTAAATTTATTTGATAGTACATGTTAATCCAACCTAATTTTTTAATGCCAACCTAATTTTTTTATGCGAAAAAAATACATAGTTCCTCTCAAAGGCAAAAAAATAAGTTTTAGCCACAATAAGAGATAATTGGAGGTTGTACAAATGTCTGGTTAAAGAATGATCATTATTGCAAGTACAAAACTAACAAACTTAGAATGGTAAATCATCCCTAACATATTCCGGATGATAAGTTTAGAGAATTGCTAAAGTATTGAAATTCGGATAATGCCAAGGTATAAGAATTTTTAAATTTTGTCACTGTTGCTCTATATTTTGTTTGTAACATCAAAGTTTATTATAATGCTATTAATTGGAATTATTATATAGACGATAATAGAGATAAATATTGAAAATCGCAAACAGTAAAAGAATATGTATACAATGGCTAAAAAGGATTTCACTAAGATAAGAAAGAAATTAATAAGAAACATTACTTTGTTTTATAAATATGATTCTTTGAAATCTTAGCCCCGGTTGATGTGATGACGATGAATTGTTTTTATTAAGATTTGCGTTTATGTGTTATAGATTTAAAGTCATAGTTTTCTTGATTGTAAAAAATTAAGAATTTGGTTTTGAAGTTCAGGGTAGTTTTGAATCAATTATTAACCTTAATTGTTTGGTTGGGAACTTTGAATGTGGCTGATATGAGTTTATTACAAATTACTGCTTGGTAGCTAGCGTGGTTTGTAACATGTAGCTGATTAATTTTGTATGTTTTGCTAGGATTTTGGTTTTTTGTGCTAATTTTTGAACTGTTGAATTTGAATATAAAATCAGAAACTTATGAATTCAGTATACCATTTATTGTGTGATGTGCATGAATATGGATTTGCAGCAGTAGCAGAAGTAACATTTGGATTTCAGAGTTATAGCTTTCTTAGGAATTTATGAATGAAATGCAATGATAGAAAATAATAAAATATGCTTGAAGGCGTTCTTACTGCTAAAAGACATTTTAATTCTCTCTTCAGTAACATTTTAATTCTCTTTTCACCAATGGCAGTTCCAAGTGAATTTACCTCTTATCTATTCAGCTGTGATTCTTGCAAAAGTGAGAAACAATTGGCATCTTTGAAATTTCTGAATTCGTGTCTTTTAAAGGCTTAGGATGTTATCCAGTAGACATCTGTATCAAGATACGGGAACAATTGCAATAGAAAATGGTTGAAATTGGTTTTGTGAAATGTAAAATACAACATGTAGGATCTACTAATATATGCACAGTACCATCTTTGCTGAATTAAGCGTTCTGGCTTGTTGTGTACCGGGAATTCACAAGTTTATTTCTTAGATATATGGTCGACAATATACTGTTTGAATATTCTATTTATCCTTGGCCAAATGATATACTCCACTCATCTCTCTTCATTTGGTTTTTCGTCATATCTTTTTTTCCCCATTGTATCCAGGATAATAAGCACGAGTATGAAAAATTAAACATACCATACATTGTTCTTAATATCTTTATCTGTTTTAAACATGCTGAAAAAGTTAATGATTTTGAGATCCATTCGTGTAGTTGAAGATTAAGCTTGACAAGCCTAAGATAAGGTTAATTTGTGGTTCTGGTGAGAAGTATTTGGGTCATGTTGCGATCAAGCAAAGCCCGATTGGGTGGTTTTAATGTTGAGGCAAAAAGACTCATAATTCAGTGGTGGGTCATGCACCGCACTGTTGTTACGATTTTTTTGGTTGAAGTGTCATGAGATATGGAATACATCTATGTGCAATTTGGCGGGATTACACAAGTATTATTAAATCTATATGCCATTTGGCTACACAAATATGATTAAGCTAAGGATAGACATGGAAGGACCCTATTGCTGATTGTTTTATGATGGGAAGTTCCCTTGGCTAATCGACAAACAGAGAGTTAAAAACTGATGATTGAAATTAGACAAGTCTGTCCTTTGACTTTTGCCATCTCTCAATAAATGTAATCAATCCCTCCATTAGCTAGTGTTCAGAAAACCAAGTCCGTCAAAGAAAGTTAGGAACTCTTCTTCACATCCATCCATCAACCCTCTATATTTTGATAGAACTTCTTGGTCTCACTGAAAAAAGGTCACCGAGAAATATAAAGAAGGGAAGGGCTCCTTGCTGTGACAAGGCCAATGTTTGTAAAGCATTCAAACTATGTATGTCAAAAACAATTAAGAAGATAAGACTAGCAACTTTTATAATTAAAACAACAATGATAAGTGTAACTTCCGATATGATTGACGATGGTGCACTTCACAATTCCTTTTTTTTTTTTTTTTTTTTTTTTTTTTTGGCCTTTAGACAATATCCTTCCTGCAAGTGTTTGTTCAAAGCTGTGACAGAATGAAAACAAGATCTGGAATGCTAACTAAATTTAACTGAAAAATTAGGTTTTATCAAGTTCCAAATGAGAAAATAAAAAAGAACTAACCCGTTCAAAATATTTATTGAAACTTGAAAAAGAAAAGTTAAATAAGTTATCAAGATTGTAAAAAGTTTCAATTTTTTATTCTCTTATATTGAAAATTTATAAAAAGATATTTGAATTGCTTTATTATGTATTATATGAAATGCATTTTTAATGAATTTATGATTCCATTATAAACTCAAATATGAGAAGTGGAGTCTCAACCTACAAGTGATGGTAGTGAATTGGGATGTGACTTAGGACGTGTTATATTGTACGAGAAGATGTCATAGCATCTGATTGATTTGAAAGGTAAAGTACACCTTAGTCAATCATTCATGAAAATTCATGAAGATTTATTAAATGCCATCAAAGTAGATGTAGAAGAAAATGTATGACAAGAAATTACGAGGAGAAGTTGTTATTTTCACCGGAAAATTTTTTTATTACAAGAGAAGTTCAGTACTACAGACTGAAAGTCGAAAGCTGCAGCAGGCACTAGCAGAGAGAAACAACTAATTTAATTAACATGTCTCAAGAGCGAGGACAAACCCCCCCACAGCTGAAAAGAACAAATGATAAGCATCATGATTTTCTCATTTCCCACTCATATTCTCATAGCATCAAGATAAGATTTTTCATGAAGCTCACGAGCAAAGAGGCCCTTGTAATATTCTTCTGCTGTTATACTTCTAAACATTGCTGGAGTCGGTTCAGTGACCAAGCTGGAAGCTGGCCCTATTACGCCATCATAATTTGTGGACAAAAATGTTGCAATTGAGAGTCTTTCTTTCTCGGAATTCACTGTTGCCCGATGCTCAATGCTACGGTATATTCCATTCGTTATAATCTGCAGACATGCATGTACAAATAATAATAATAATAAATAAATAAATAACAATCGCGCAGAATTCTTGGATCAAAGCTCTAAGCTAACATCATTTGTGGTTACATGTATTTTACCTCCAAAATATCTCCAATGTTGAAAATGAAGGCATTTGGGAGGGGTTTAACAGGAACCCACTTTCCATCCTTCTTTATTTGAAGACCTTCCATTTCGTTGACTTGTAGGAGTATAGTGAGACCTACGGCATCAGAATGAGGAGTGAGGCCAATAACCCTATCCGGTTGAGGACATGGAGGGTAATAGTTCATCCTCATCGACTGAAATCCATTCGCAAAAAACTCTTCTACTTCCTCTGCCTCTATCTTTAGTGCTTTACCCATATGTGCTAGGATTGTCATGGCTAGGTTTTTCAATTCCGATGAATATGCTTCCACAGTGTCTCTACAAGGAACAAAAAAAAAAAAGCATTTAGCTAGTAGGTTACTAATTAATTAAGAAACAGAAGTAACTCAAAATTCACTGTACTAAATAAATACAGATAGAAAGAGAGATGACCTGAAAGGAAGAGGCAGCTTTGGAAACAAGTGGGGTTTCCTCGCATGGACTGGCTGGGTGACCAAGAAGAAAAGATCAGCCCAGTCAAGCTTTTGCTCCTCAGACACCACAAATGCTTGTCCAAAACCCTCTACCTCTCCGGGATACTGCCAGAATTTTTCTTCTCTTCCATTGGCAGGTTAAAAAAGTCCTGAACATCCGTCTTTACTTTCTCCAACAGTGAAGAGCTCACTTCATGGTTTACCAACTGCAAGAAAAATATCATCCATATACATGTTAAATTTCTATAAGCCTAAGCTGGGAAATATTAATTTACTACTTATTGCTACGTTTTGTTCCCTGAACAACAAGTGCAAAATGGCCGAACTTGAAAATCTAAGAAAACATTTTTTTTTCGGGTATTAATTATCCATTTAGATCAAATTCACCAATATGTATGTTTACTTGCAGTTCTTTCCCTTGTAACACATTATTCATCAAATTTTGTTATTGTCAAAAAGCTATTACAACGTTTTATATAGAAGGATAAAAAAAAATCCTAATAATATTGAATAAGAAAAATAAAATAAAATTATAAAGCACTAATTTACTACTAACATTTGTCTAATTAAATAAAATATAATAAATTTTAGAAGAACTTAAAGAAATAAGGAAAGATTACGATAACAATAATTAGGTAAAAAAAAAAATTATGAAATACATGTCATTGTCATTAAACAACGAGGAACCAACTCCATAACAATGAATGTTATGCTAATTTCTGTAAATTATAGTTAGATTAAGGATGATAATGAGTAGGGTATGAAATGGATACTTATTTTACCGAATTCAATAAAGATTCATTCAAAATATCTAATTCACATTAAAATAAATAAGAATAAAAAAATAATATCTATTAATTAAAAAGAATTTAATATGCAGAAACTTGATTGCACAAAACATTTAAAATAAGAATCAAAATATTTTTTTATGAAAACTTCATGAATAAAAAACTCATAAATAAAGAATAAATATTATTTCAAAGGACCAAAATAACTTTTTTAAGAATACATGGACTAAGATGAAATTTTTGAGAAATTATTTTCAACTAGGACTAAATAAATATTAAGTGAGCCGGTTATGAATTTGATGGATAATGAGCGGACAGCTATCCTTAAGTTAGATTGACAAGTAGTGAGTTGGTCCAAATTCATACAATGGACTTTGGATATATAATTGTTTAATTAAGCCTGTCACTCATGAAGACAGCAACCCTATAGAGCCAGTCTAAGACATAGACTGGTTATTAAACAGTTCCGCAACCTTGCAATATATGAAGAGAAAGCTGCATATCAAATTTGTTATTAAAATTATTTTGACAAAAAAATGTTTGGATAGTCAGTTGTATCTTTATATGTCTATTAGCAGTGGATACTGATAAAATCAGTTTGCACTCATTTTTGGTTCTCTTTCTTCCCTGAGTTTCTTCAATCTCCTACGCAATTTTCTTGCCTTTTTAGTTTTTTTTTTTCTCTTTTATTTGTACTTTGTCCACCCTTAACATTTGTTTCGAAAGAAAATTTAGTTTCAATTGTCGAAGAAATCTATTACTGTCGTGTGTGGAATAAAAAGCAAAACAAAAGAAGAGAGCGATTAGGAAGAAAATAAATAATTAAATACATGATCGAGCAATATATATATATGTTGGCGTGTACCTGGAAAAAGCCCCAGTCTTTGCAAGCAAAGTGGAGCTTGGTCAATTCAGAGTCCATTGATTCTTGATCAAGTAACCTCTGCATATCAATAACCGGGACCTCATTTGCCGAGGCACCGTTGGGATTGATGATGGGCTGCTCTTGATCAGGACGGATGTATCTTGCTGGAATGGTGGCGATGTTTACCTTGGCCAATTCCTGAACACAAGGCACAATAAGAGAGCTTCCAAGCTTAACTGCTTTTGATTCCATGTTTCTTAATCCGTTAACCTTGCCGAGGCACCAGTGGTTTTTGCAGGTTTTCTTTGGTTTCTAACTTTCTGTCTTTATATATATATACATGAGGAGGAAAGTGGAAACCTACTCTCCTATCATGTCTAGAGTTGGTATTCCAAAAGTGATCCACACGTATGTGTGCGTGTGTGTGAAGCAAGCACTAACTATCCTTCAGCCTTAGAAAAACAAAAGAAAAAAAAAAAAATACCTTTCTAGAAACAGAGGACAGAGATTGAAACGCACAATCTGATATGCTTCAGCTGAAATTAATGTCAAAAGGATCTGTCAAGATCTTCCAAAATCTCCAACTCTTTCACACTAATATATTTTACAAGTCAATATATTTAATGAAATTGAGTTTTTTTTCCTTTGTTTTAATAATAATAAAATTAACAATCAATTTTTAAAATAATTTTGTTCTATTTGTCTACATGACATTAAATGCTTCAATTGAAATATAAGTTGAAAACTACTTTAATATGAAAATAAAGATTTAAAAATATCTTATTAAAAAAAAACACTTGAAATGAAATGAGTTCCTAAGGAAAATAAATATAAAAGGTATGCACTTTGATAATAAATATGATTGATTCTCATAGAAGCTGCCATCATTCATGAATTTATAAAGATGAGAAAAAGAAGATTTGTAATTAATAAATATAAAAGATAAACACGTTGATGATGGATATAGCTAGTGGCTTATTTTCAGAGAAATTGCCATCATTCATGGATTTATGAAGGTGAGAAAAACAAGATTTGCAATTAATAAATATAAAAGACAAGCACTTTGATGATAGATATGGCTGATGACTTATTCCCAGAGAATCTGCTATCATTCATGGATTTAATTAAGAAGGTGAGAAAAAGAAAATTTGTAGTTAATAAACATAAAAGATAAGCACTTTGATGATAGATATGGCTGATGGCTCGTTCTTAGAAAATCTCCCATCATTCATGGATTTATGAAGGTGAGAAAAAAAAAATTGCAACTAATAAATATAAAAGATAAGCACTTTGATGATAGATATAGCTGATGGCTTATTCTCAGAGAATCTGCCATCATTCATGGATTTACGAAAGGTGAGAAAAAGAAAATTTGCAATTAATGAATATAAAAACTAAGAACTTTGCTGATGGATATGGCTAATGGCTTATTCTCAGAGAATTTGTCTTCATTCATGGATTTATGAAAGTGAGAAAATGAAGATTTATAATTAAAAAATATAAAATATATGTATTTTGATGATGGATATGGCTGATGGCTTATTTTCAAAGAATCAGCTATCATTCATGGATTTATGAACGTGAAAAAAAGATTCTCAAGGAATCTGCCATCATTTATGAATGTGGGAAAAATTAGATATTTTACTTTGAAGTATTTATGAGATTCCTTTCTTTCGAGGACCAGTTTGAATGTTTTAATCTTTTAATTTGCTTACCCTTGTAGTCATGGTGGTAGTTTTGCAAGGCCAAGTCTCTACCCTCAGGAGATTTGTTTAGATAATGGTGATGTGAGGATGATGATGATGATGTGCTACTTTTTAATTATTATTAAAAATTGAGTAAAATGCTAAGATTTACAAGACATAAGGGTAGCTAGAAGATGGATATAATAAATTCCTGGAACTTCTCAATTAACTTGGCCTTTCAGACATAAGTAATTCATTGACATTATAAAAACATTAAAACAACATACGTATTTATTGTTGATGAACTCTAGCTATAATAATTTCAAAACAGTGTTATTTTTTGAGTTTGTTTGGTATGAAACCATGTTGTTTTGATAAAAAAAAAAAAAAAAAAAAAAAAAAAAAACAAAAACAAAACAATTTAATGATTTGTTTCCGGTGAAACAACCTTATTTGACAAAAAATTTAAGTGGTTTTTTTTGCAAAGTTTTCAACTTCCGTCCCTGTACTTCTAGATCTATACAAAATAATACCACAATTTCATTATATTACAACTGGATCCCTAAGTGTAGAAAGAGGAAAGAGAATCAAGGACAGGGAAGGGATGAGAGAGAAAGTTTTGACGTGGCAATGTTAACCCGAAATTTTAATATCCATTTATTCATTTTAATAAAAAGAGTTTGTTGATAGTTATTTTAGCTCTTTTGACGATCAGAAAAACAGATTTGGGTCAAAAAAATTTTCAAACTTTTGGATTTGATTTGTTTTTAAGAGTTGTTGAACTGAATTAAAATGTATTTTAAGGTTGGAAAATGATTTTTACAGATTGTGGGGATGCTTTTGAAATGAAAATGGTGGAGTTTTTGAGCTTGAGAGATCAAAACTGATAGCCCTCAAGTTGTAATCGGCGGCATTGCATCCGCGCCGTTCTTCAGCCTAAAGGAAGTCCGGCCTAGGAGTGCTGGCCTCACTAGCGTCAAACCCTAGATTTCTTTGTTTAAAAACAAAATTATTTTATCTTAATTATCTTCTTCTTCTTTTTTAACCTTTCTTTACTTTTTTTTTTTTGGCTTATTTTTTATTACTTGCTCAAAATCAACTTTTCCACCATAGCATAGAGAATTTATTTATTTATTTTTTTATTTTCATAGAACCTTCCAAAATATAAGTATTTTTATTTCCCAAGATTTTCTCTCTTTTTTTGTGTTTTTTTTTTAATTCATGTCGAAAATTGTTATTATAGTAAAAATTAATGATTCTCTATGCAACCTTATAAAAAATAATATTTATTATAAAGTATTTTGGTGATAATAAGGTTTATGATCCATCTAAAATTTATGATTTTCTAGATATTTTCAACAACAACACTAAAATAGAAATAGTACCCTTTTTTTTCAAAAACAAGTCAGCCTTTGCCGATGAATTAGCATTTAAAAGAAATAATTTAGATGATAAAAATCTAATAGTTAAATATTTATTATTTATTATTTTATATTAAAATTTAGCTCCTTATTTCTCGCTTCAAAGTTCATTATAATTCTTCAACATGTCTCAAAAGTATGGTTCCTTATCTTTTCTAGTATAAACACACAAAATAATTAATCACATAATAAAATCATTTGCTTATATAGATTTATAATAGATTTTAAAATAATGAAACCTAATGTTTAGAATTATATCGATGCACAATACAAACACTAAAAAAAACAAAAAAAAAAAAAGCTAAATAGCGACATAAATCGATAATGTACATGAAGTTGTTGGTATATACCGGTGGATTAGCGAATGAATAATAATTGTTATCAATTTCCAAACATTTGAAGTTACTAGCGAAAAAATACCGACTAATTTATGACAAATATTCAATGACGAAAAACTATTGTCGTTGAATTACGTGATAAATTTTTGATAAAAAATTTAGCGATAGATTACCAACTAATTTGCAATGGTATTTAGTGACGTATGGAAACTTTCATTGCTAATTTTGGTGCCGATTTTCCTCGTTATTGATGATGAAATATTATGTTGCTAAACTTGTTATTTCATTGCAATATAACGACGTAATATGTTTGTCGCTAAAAAAAACTAATTCAACAACAAATAGCTTCATCGTCAATTAGAGGAAAATGACGCACTTTTGGAAAATTCAAACAAGCAACGGACACTTATGAATATCAACATAATCACGTCTATTGTTAAAAAAACTAATTCGTAGACGTAATCGCAATGAAATCATGTCCATCGCTAAAAAAAGGCCTAAATGTGGCAACTCCTTCTTCTTTCTCCATTTTCTTCTCCTCCCTCGCCCATAAACTCGCCATCGTTCTCTTCGGTAGTCATCGTTCCTCCTAAATCCAACCAAAGAAGCCACACTACCAATCAACCCTATTGATTGCTCAATCTCTCGCATCGTTGTTCACTCTATCACGTTCAATAGTAGCTACAACCCCTTCTAATGCCGCCGTGCATAGCTCCATCCTCATCTAGTGCCGCCAACTATAACTTTAGCCCATTCCAGTACCACTAGCGAGTAGCTTTAGCTCACTTCGTTATGTTTAGGAGTAGCTCCAGCACCGTTAGTAGTCATCGCCACCACTCCCATATTCCTTTTATTGCTAAGGAAGTTGTTGAAATCCCGAATTTCAATTTGTGTATCCATAAAATAAATTTCAATTAATTACATTAATTGAAATTAAATTTATTTGATGATCATTAAAGTGTGTCAAGATACGTAGTAACGTATTGAACCCGAGGAGTCGGAGATCCTTGAGAGTTAAGGATAAATAAGGTGGTGTTAATGCTTTGCAATGGAGGAGGATAGTGATTAAATTTTAATTTAAGTGGATTATCCAATATAAGTATTGGTTTCGATATGCGTAAATTGATTGATTTGGTTACTTGATTGTGATTGACTAAATGTGTCCAATTATCCATACTTGTATTATCAATTAATGGATTGACTATTGTTTAAAGTTTGAGTGATGATGATTAATTAAATATGTGAATTTTGCCAACTATATAAATGTTGCTCGTTTGTCGTTTTGATTGAAAATCACAATACCTAAAATTGTGTCAATTTGAGCCCTAATTTGGACTACTTTTTGCCAATTTTTTCTATCATGTTCGTATGTTTGTTGCTTTGACTAAAATTTTAATACTTTAAATCACATCGGTTCGAGATACTATTCGGATTGTTTTTGCTAGTTTTGACTATTATTCATGTTTGGTACATGTATTATGTATTTTGGATGTATTGTTTTCCGTATAAGTGTAGTCTCTTGTAATTAAAAAAAAAATTCTATTTTACAAGAGAGGTTTTGCCAAACTTTTGTTAAATTTTTAAGAAAACATGCATAGATCTTGATGTATTTATTGGTGTAGTGGTAATTAAGTAATTGTGTGTTGGCTCGAATATGCGAAGAAAAAAATAAGCTCGAATCGTGCATAGATCAATTTTAGGCTTATCAAAGGAATTTTAAATTAGGATGTTGTGAATGATATTGAAGAATTTTTTGCATTTGTTGTTAGTCGTCCTAAAAGTATGAAAAAAAGTAAGATAAGATGTCT